TATGGCCAGGAATCAAATTTATGGGTCAAGGAATCACGCGTGCATTCATAAATCACGAATAAATCAAACAAATTGCAAAAATACTAAACGACGACGAATTGGTGCCTGTATACCCGCGATTACGTGCCGCTTTGCATCTACAAACCTCGAGGCGTCTCCGTGTCGAGCCAGCTATTTGTTTGCAATTGATATGCCATTTTATGTATTTATCGCCTTTTTTACGCGTCGTAGGAGCGCTCTACGAGCCACGAACACCTCTTGGAATAGTTTGTTTCGTGTAGTGTTACTCACGCCGCAAACCTCCAAGATGTGATATGGCATATCCGGCTGTAAATTCGTACAAGCGTCTTGGAGACACTGCACACTTGTTGGGCGCCATGCGGGTTTTTTTCGACCGAGAATCCGAGTCGGGAGCGACGATAGGAGCCGCGTGCGACGATAATCAGCAATAAATGGATAATATTTAAATGTTTTTTTTACATGGTCAAACGCGCCTCTTCTTTTGTGAAACGCGGTGTTGCGGCTTTGCGGAGGTAGGGCCGATGGCGAGACGAGCTTGCGCGCTCTGGCTTGCTCGTATCGATTTGTTGTTGCACGCCCATGATTTACATTGAATAAACACAAAAAGGCGAAACACTGACAAATTGATGCGCAAAAATCACGAAAGAATTCCCACAGATCGCCAATGAGCCGTCACGATTTTATGGCCAGGAATCAAATTTATGGGTCAAGGAATCACGCGTGCATTCATAAATCACGAATAAATCAAACAAATTGCAAAAATACTAAACGACGACGAATTGGTGCCTGTATACCCGCGATTACGTGCCGCTTTGCATCTACAAACCTCGAGGCGTCTCCGTGTCGAGCCAGCTATTTGTTTGCAATTGATATGCCATTTTATGTATTTATCGCCTTTTTTACGCGTCGTAGGAGCGCTCTACGAGCCACGAACACCTCTTGGAATAGTTTGTTGTATGTGTTTCATTGTTTTTCTTACATAACGACTCGTTTTTATGGTGCGCTGCAAATGCCACGTATAGAATGGTTGGTTCACGATAGTAGTATCTTTTTGCATGATGAGATCATCTCTTGACGGCTGAGAATGATGACGGCATATGAAATATTGAATACGTCATACAGCAAGGCACCCATTTGGTTGAGTTGGAATGTTGGAGTATACAGTATGGTTCAAGGAAGAACATGTACCTCCTCGTTCGTGCTCCACATCTCTATTGCGTGGTTCGCCTTTGATGATCTGAGTACATATGCGATATTCCAACACGTAAAATGTTTTTTTATGTACCCAACATACTCCCCAAGAAGGCAAAAAATTTGAGAGACGGCTGAAGTACCTGTTGACATAGGCTACCGCTCTGACCTTCTCGTGTAGCATTTCTCTCCTGCCTTCGACACAACCTCTCTTATTCCAATGTGGACCGTGCTAAGTGCGTCATCGCTCTATGTGGGCGTTGCAGGGAGGCTTTCTACGGCGCTGCAAAATGTCGATTGTAGGGTGCCATCTGCTGCGTTCAGCGCGGTGCTGCAAACGAGCTCACGTTGAGATGCAACATTTCCATCGACGCTACAGAAGCTGGTGCGACGAAAGCTGTGTACGACAATAAAATGGACTGCACATGCCAATTCTTGTTCAAAAGTTGTGCTCATTGCTCATCCCAGAATCCTTGATCCTGCTGATTAGTCGTCTCGCAACGCAACCGAAAGTGCTTTGTGCCTAGCTTCTGCAACGCACAACGAGCTTTTATTTCCCTCCTTTAATGCCCACCAAGGTAGGTGCAATTCTCGTCGTTGGATACATTGGTGAGGAAACAGAAAACGTCCGGGATGACTATGCAGCAAGCGCCTTGACCTGTTCTTCGAGCGGTGTCTTCTTGTAGCCCGTCACGGGGGTCCCGACCTCGACGCCGCCGTTGAAGAAGCGGAAGGTCGGCAGCACCTGCACGTCGAGCGCAGCTTTGATGTCTTGGACGCCCTCTTCGCCCGTGTTCATCTTGACAAAGGCCTACAAGTATATGAGCCTGCGCTGCGATATCTTGGAAAGATGCGTTACCACGTTGGGATAGTCCTCGGCAAGGATCTCGACAAAGCCAGAGATCTGCCGGCACTTGCCGCACCACGGCGCCCAAAAGTCGCCGACGACTGGCTGGCCCGTCGCGACGATTGCGTCCCACTCGACCTTGGTGCTGACGTTGTACATGCCTTCTTCGTCCTTGGTGAAGCCGGCGAGCGAGAAGGCGCGCGGCAGCAGGCGCCGCGTCGCCGCCATCGATGTCATCGTAAGAGTCGACCGCGCTAGCATCGTCGCGTCGGAGAGGCCGAAAATGCCTGGACATTGCACTTGGCCTTGTATCCGGATTATCCGGATACAAGGCCATTGAGCTCGTGGAAGGGCACGGAAGATCGCGGGCCGTGCGTCGGTCGCGCGATGACGATGTAAACAGGTCCCGTACGGGGTGAGCTGGTAGGAACTTTTGAATGCGAAGCGTTGTTTACCGGTATTTGCGACATAGTATTAAAGAAGAGCGGTGGTCCATGGTACAGAACGAGCTGGAGGCAAAGATACATGCGCGCATGAAGAGTGGCAGTTGCAGCAGCAGCATGGCTCTCTTAGCACGCGAGATGCGTCGATCGTAAATGCACGGCTCTCTCGTTGGCATCGATCGGCCTTCTGCGTCTCGAGCTACTGGTACCATCAAAGCGCCCAGTGCCATCAACGCATGACTGACGCCCACGTTTCATCGCTTCCAGCCATACTGACGGTGGTCACGCTTCGAAAAGATTATCGACATTGCTTCGATTACCATTTAAAGAGATGGGTTTCATTGCTGGAAGGAATGTGCCGTTTACAGGCAGTGGAAGAGGTTTTCCGCGCAAGGACGAGCGATCTAGAAGACCAGTTACAAGGTCGAACAAAAGCCAAGACCCAGAGCAACCCAGCTCAAGCCACTTCCAAATTGGTCGTGTTCGTCAAATAACGAACCCGCCTCGCCCACCACCGGCATGGCGGACACCAACACGGTTGTTGCCCCCAAGTAGTTCGGTCTTGATTGAGGAAATGCAACTTGGGGCGTGAGAGATGCCAACGTACCCATACGTTGGCCCCATGGCGCTACGTAATGGAGCAT